GCAGAGACAATTCTCGCGCACGTAATTCTTCGAGACTCCGCCGCTCTGTCTCGTCACCCTGTCGCTTCCTCCTCCTAGCTGTAATCCGAATTTGTTGATAGACATTCCTGTAGCATCGCACGAGCAATACTGGCGATAGTTGAAAAGCTGTGATCAATTTATAATCAGACCAGCTTCGCGCAGTTCCTCGATAATCGAGAGAAACTCGTTGTCGTGCGCGTTGTTTCCCGCCTGACGGGAGGCGTCCAGCAATCGAAGGCGATCCACCAATTCGTTCGGATCATCCCAGTGCACGTAATCGACCGCGTTGTCGGTCACAGTCATGGTCTGTGGTATGTTACACTTGGGTAACGTGTGACCCGCACCTCTCTTGTCGAGATGTGCAACACCTCCACCTTTCTTAGATATCAGAGGTGTGATGATATGTTTGTATTTGTATCCTTTGTTTCCCAAAATAGGTAAATGCGCGTTATGACCGCGTCTGTGAGCGTTAGTAGCGAGTAGTATGCTCTTGTACTTTTGTTTGTCATCCTCCGTACACAGCGTATCGTCGGGAAGTCTTTTAAATATTAATTCAAACAGGCCGGGCGTGCCCGCGTATTTTACACCGTCCACAATCAAATTGTCGTCTCTATCAATGTCGAAGGCCTTGCCTCCGAGAAACGTTCCCGCATCGTTGAAGTATACGCCGTACACGTTGTCGATCCCTCTCTTCTTGTCACCGCTCAAGAGCTCCCCGATGTACTCTTGGCTCAGCTGACCCATTTGATCATACAGAGCTTCCTGATCTTCGAACGTTTGCATTGTCTCTCGCAAGGATGTCACGAGAGAGGGATCCGCGCTGTGTCGGTTTCATTCGACCTCATCGGGCTTTCGAACGCTAATTTTTGCGGTTGGAGCGAGGTATCCGGCTTTATTCGTTTACCCATTGGCACGGTGCTGTGCTGCACTGTGCTCCATCGCTTTCGATTCTTCTTCTTCTTCAACTCCGGTGTAGACGGCTCTTCGATAGGATCATCGTCTCCGGTATTCTCAACGATTTGTTTCAACGGCTCTACGATCGGTTTCAACCGTTTCTCCAATTGCGCCTCTTGCTCCACTCTACCCGTCTTCAACGTCCGATGCTTCTTGCGAATCGACTCGCTCGTACGAGCGATTTCCTTCGCGATCTTCTCCCTCTCGTCGATATCTTTTGTGTCGAGCGTCATCGTCAACATCTCGAGAACAACTAACCATTCCGCGGTACCGCAAACTCGTTAAAACCACGTCTGTATCGTCCATTGTAACGTCCTCCGGCCGTCATACATAAATTTTTCTTTTCCTAAACTCTCTAAAATCTTTTACCTCTAGAATGTTCTCGAACCTTCCAGCATATTCCATCTCAGAACGTTCTCGAACCATCCAGAATCTTCCACCTCTAGAATGTTCTCGAACTTTTTAGAAGGATCCGTCTCAAACGCACGTACAGGCCGTCCCTCCAAACCTTCGAACGTGCTCGGCACCCGAGGCACGTACGAGACCTGCCATAAAAACCTTCGACCTTCTCCAACTCTTTTTTTTTGGAGACCTAACTGTAAGACCCTCCAACTTTCTCCAACCCTTTTTTTTCTTGAGACCTAACGGTAAGACCCTTCGATCCCAAAATTCCAGAACCCAGTTTTTGCTATAGATTTTTGGGTATAAAAGCACCCACACTGGCCGAGTTCGAGCAGTTCTACTCCGGCCTCGACACGAGGCACATCACTCTAAATCCGTCTCTATCTCAAATTCGAACTTAGAATAATTCTACTAAACTGTAACTTCACTAAATTGTAACTTAGTTAAAATATTATAAGTATAAGTTAAGAAATATTTTGTACGCGTAGATTGTTAATTAAACTTGTATTCTGAAAACCAACAGTAAAGTGTATGTTAAAATTAACTTCTCGAATTAGTTAACTCTGTGTCTCTAACCTACCTCAACACCTCTCCTCGTGCACTTCGAATCAGCACTCAGTATTAATATCTCCGGTGCGGACCACCGCACGTTGTATTGATCACTGTATCCCCGCGAATTGTGGTGCGGCCCACCGCACGCTTTGCGCCTGGAATTTTCGGACTGACACACTCTTCCTCTCTCATGCCTAAATCCAAGACACGTAGAGCCGGTGTTAAGTATCATGCGCGCAAATTACTTGCAGAATACCAGTTCGGGTCCGCGAATACTAGTTGCACCGAGCATTTTGAAAACCACGAGGACTTCGAATACGAATTATTGTTCGCATCGCATAATCCGAGTACGTGTGAGTTTGATAGACGCGAAGGATATAATCGTTCGAAACCGTGGCCGTATACTTTGATTCCGTTGACGCTACATCCGCCATCGAGGCTCACTGGAATTAACTCTGCAGGTCCACGCTGGGCAACCTACTCCAGTCGACCGCAGTAATCGAGCAGTAAATAATAACATCTATAACCAGCGCCGGTGAATACATACACAATATTGTTATTTCAAATAGCAAAGTAACCCAGTGCGCGCTCTAGAACCTAACCCTAAGTGAATTATACTATCTCTCTTCCGAAGCAACACGCTGTACTAGTAAGGCATTAGTAAGAATAGGGATCTTAAAATCACGCTATTCCGAATAACCACTAAAATGACGTCATAAATCAATTCCAAGTCGGGTCGCGCAGCCTATATATGGAACATCATACCATCGCGTGGTGTACTTTAGATTTCCTGCACGTGGATAATAATAATAGCAGTCATACTCCCGACGCACTCTGTGGCCGTTGTATGATTTCTGACCTCTTAATCTCTATTGAGTCTCGGTGCCTTTTAAGACGACATAGTTTGGTAATTCACCTGCATCCTGAAGTACAACGTTGTTGTATTTGCCGACAAGAATTGACCATCGTTCGCGCTTTCAATAATTGTTTTACTTGTCGAGTCGTATACGCGGATTTCCTCCGTACCCGTGCCGCATCCGGATCGGAAGAGTTAGGATCGGAAGCCACTATCATAGCTCTGTGTCAGTCGCGCTCCGCCATTATTCCGTAAATTCCCTTTTTTCCCCTGTGAAAAGCCGCGTTTGCACCCTTAATTTGGATTTATATACTCTTCTAATAAATTTTATTAACGACTAATTTGATTGCGCGTACCCAGAGTAGGGCTCCATAAGCCTGATTACTCGAAAAGCAATCGTGTCTCGTGAGTTTAATTTTAATTATAATCAAGACTCGCCGGGACGTAACACCATCTTTAATCG